TAGTTATAATTTATGATTATAATTATTATTTTTATTATAATTATTAATATTTTTATTATTATTATTGTTACTATTGTAATTATTTTACAGAGTAATTATAATAATATTGATAACTATAGTTACAATTATAGAGATAAATATTGTAATTATAATTACAATTATAATTATATAAGTAATTATAATTAAAAATATAATTACAATCATAATTATATCTATATTTATAATTAGTGTAATATGTATAAAATTTTTCATTTTAAATTTAATTTTAATTATTATTATTATTATTTTTATAGTTACGATTATAATTTTATTTAAGTTATATTTGTAATTGCAATTATAATAATTATAATTATAATTATAATCATAGAAATATTCAAATCAGATCAGATCAGAAAGATTCAGATCAGATCAGAAGGATTTAGATCAGATCAGAAACATTCAGATCAGATCAGACCAGATTTGAAACATTCAGATCAGATCAGGAAGATTCAGATCAGATCAGATCAGATCAGAAAGATTCAGATCAGATCAGATCAGATCAGAAAGATTCAGATCAGATCAGATCAGATCAGAAAAATTCAGATCAGATCAGATCAGAACTTAAAAAATTCAGATCAGAAACATTCAGATCAGGCGAAGAGAACAACTTCTTACTCTATGAGTTTTAGATTTTTTCCATTTATGGGGTGCTAATACTCCTTTCTTTGCTAAGCATATATCTGCTCCACTATCAATAAATATTTTTTGGGTTATAATTTTATTAGGTTTATATTCTACTGGTGCTTCTATATATATTGCTACCATCATTTATTCAATTCAGATTCTTCCTCACTTTCTGTATTTTTAAAGTATTTAATATTTTCATTTACTGTATTATTTTCTGATTCGGTTTCACTTATATAAAATTCTTCATACTCATACCATTTTTTATTATCTTCTTTTATTTGTTCTAAATTCATTATAAATTCTGGTGTGTTAATATACTTTATTCCTTTCTTCTTAAGTTTTGGGCACTTATTTGCATAATGTCCTTTTTCATTACAGTTCCAACTTTTACATTCGGTTGCTTTATTATTTCCTTCCTCTAATGGCATGATATTCCTTCTTCTCCTAAATTTCCTTTTATGTCTAAAATTTCTTTTAGTTTCGGGTGTATTTCTATATTTTCTAAATCTTTTTCTCCTATATCTTCTATAATACGATTCATTATTATATCTATTTTTTCTGTTAAATCTTTTATAATATTTTCTGTTTTTTCTATATTTTCTATCTTCCTTATTATCACATCCAAACACTAGTCTTTTTTCGGTAAATCCACATATTTCTCTTAAACCTTGTTTTTTTTATCTTTTTTAATTTTTTGTTGTACTCTATATTCCTCACATTTTCTCATTAAATATGCTCTTAATACCCTTATTCTTTCTCCTAATGTATTTTCTTTTGGTTCAATTTGACTATATTCTTCAGATACTTCTATGTTATATGGCGTTGGTAAATGATCATAATAAAGTTGTTGATATATTATACATTCTTGCGGTAAAAATTTTGCTTCATAAAAGAATTTGGTAAAACTTATAGTATATTCTGGTAGTTTATTAATTTTACAACACTTCATATTATTTAAATTCATTATTATTTCTGCTTTTCTTTCAGCATTTACTATGTCTCTGGCTACAAACCATCTTTCTCCTAGAAATTCTCTTTTTAATACTATGTTAAATATATTTGTCATATCTTTCCAGTGTTTAACATGAGCAAAAGCTTGTTATTCTAGTTCATGATTTATTGATTCCATCCAAAATGCTACCTTTCCAATTAGTGTTTTTGATATTAATTCATAAACATAATCTAAATCTTCTGTATGAGCTGAGTTCATTAATGCTATGTACATTCCTAAATTCCAATCATTTATTCTTCTACTAATTTCTTGTTCATCATAAACATTATCTAAGTCTAGGAAATATCCATTTAAATTTAATCCTTGTGACATTGATCCTACAAAATCTCTAAATTCATTTTGTTGTCCTATTGGTATATGTTCTGGTATTTTTGACCTCTTCTTAGTAACTAATTCTAAATTTGGGTCTAACATTTCTTCTTCAGGATAGTCATCAGCATCTTCATTAACTATTTCTTCTGTATCAGCTTCTGTTTCTATGGGTCTAGTATATTCTTCTTCCACATCACTTTCCGGTTCATCTTCTATTATTGCATTAATATTTTTCATTCTTCCTAATGCTTCAATAATTTCATTATTTTCTTCTATTTCATTAGAATATTCTTCACCTTCTAATTCTTCTATATAATTTACTATTTTTATTTTGTCATTTTTTCTATCATCTTCACTTGTTTCACTAGTACTAGTATTTGTTTTATTTGTATCTGAATTACTAGAATTTTGCTTATTATCTTTTGCAATTTTTAATTCATATAATTCTTTTTTCAATTTTTCCATTTCTTCCATGATTTGATTTACTTCATCTTTTGTCTGTTTTAATTCTAATCTTGTTTGTCCAAGTTCTCTTTTATTATCTTTAAATTTGTGTTTATACTTTTTATATTTTTTAATCCATTCCTCATTTGATTGGGTTATTAATTTTAAATTTTCTTTCTTTAATTCTTCTATTTGTTGTTGTTGTTTTTCCGTATGTAGGTTTAATAATTCTAATTCTATTCTTTCTTTTTTATCCAAATTTTTTACCATTGTCTTTTGTTCTGAAGTGCCTATATTTTTATTCCTAATTTCTTTATTTCTTATTGGTTCGTACTTATATCGTTCTTTTTCTATTATCTCTTTTCCATGATTTTTAAGAAAAGTTATTACCCTGTGTTCGTTATCCGTCATTGAAATTGTCCTTTTTACTGTAATTTTGCTAAATTGTCTATTGTTTTTCCTACCTCTTCTGATAATTTAGGTTTTGTATCTCTAATATCCACTACTATAGGTTCTTTACTCCTTTTCCATACATTTATAGTTACTAATTCTGGGTCTTTAGTATTAACTTTCTTTGGTATTTTATTTACATTTTCATCTATATTCTGTTTTTCTTTTTCGTTACTAGTAATTAATAAATTCAATTTTTCTAATATTTGTTTAAATGTTGGTATTTCCGATACATTCCATAAATTTGTTAATTCTTCTTTTATCATATTTCTTATGTTAGATTGATCTTCTTTTATTTCATTCATTGTTGTAATTATATTTCTAATTTGTTCTTTTACTATTAATTCGTTCCAAATATCCTCTACTTTTTCGTTAAAATTACTCAGTTTTAATTATTCTTTTTCTCCATCCTCCTTCAAGAGTTATCCATTCCTTTTTAGGTTCATTTACTAAAGTCCTTAAATTTGTTATTTCATTTTCTAATCTTTTATATTCATCTATTTCTTTTTCAAATTTTAATTGACATGACACCAAAGTTTTTGTTAATTTTTCTCTTAATTTTCCTAATTTTTCTTCTTTCTTTCTTAATTTGTCTTGAATATTCATAGTTTATTTATAAACCTGATTTTATTTTGATCTTCAATTTCAATTCCTTCATTTGTTATTTTATATTGTCATGCTTAAAAAATCACTTCCTAAAAGTAACTCGTAAGAACTATCATATTCAACTACTCCTATTGTTATTTTGTATTCCAAGTCTTGAATCCTAAATCTTAATTTTGTACATTTCGTAATTATAATTTCCCTTGAATTATTAGGATAGCTATATATTTGTGGTTGTTCTATTATACTACAATCCTTTTCTCTTATTTTACTGATATGAACTAAGCTTTTTGTTGCACCGATATTTATGTCAGTTATACATTCCGTTGTTATTGTTCCATTAAATATTATAGTTTTTATTTTTAGTTTATCAAATTCACTATATGGTGTGTTTATTAAGTCTAATTTTCTTGGTTGTCTAATATTGGATTCTAACCTTGTTACTTCCTTTTTAAAACTTATTCTTGATCCTTCTATTTGTGGTATTATTTTTGTTGATGGTCTTTGTTGGGTTAATGGCCCAAGCCGAGGTCCGGCCCATTAACCCCTTTCTACCAGACGCACGTCCAGTTAGGACACAAGGCTAGCCGCAGGCCCATGCTCCTTGGGGAGCAACGAGCGTCTGGGATTGGGGGTTTAGGCTCGACGGCCCATCTCGACGAGCGTCTATGCAGGGACAAGAAGCAGGACCACGGGCTATCAGGGATGACGACGAACGTCTCCAGAGCAAGCCTATGGTCATCGGAGGAAATCCGGCCCACATGGTGAGGATCCATTAAGGCCAGGAGACGAGCAGCCGGTACCTCTTGAGAGTCACTTGGAGCGATCCAGCTCGCTCCCCGGGCGGACGAACGTCCCCACTATTTAGGCGGGAAACCTAGATTCTGGCGGGAAGTGCATTTAATGCTGAAGATTTGGTGGTTGAGACACCAGCGGTCCACAGGCTTCCACGTCAGCATAGCCACCTGCCCATTGGTGGGTATAAATAGAAGCATTTATTTCATTGTAAAGGGTTGGCAACTTTCTATTCTTAGCACTCTAGCTATAGCATTCTTACTCGCAGCACTTCTACTGCCTTGTAAGACGAACGGCCGACGGAGCCTTAGCGGAAAGTGTTGTATTAGGGAGTTATTAAGAGATAATAATACCTAATCACTTACTTGCTATCTTACTGTTTCTTGATCCTTATTATCTGCTTGTTGGGCTAGTTTATTCACATACACTCCACTCGAAATCCTTGGGCTTACGTGTTGGACCCGGGGGTTGAAGGAATAAACCTCAACAGTCTTATTCGTCTATTTTCAAAATCCATACATATTTCTTCTGGCATTGTTATTCTAGAATTATCTTTGGGTTCTATTTGTTCTAATATTTCTTGATACAAATTTGGTATTAACATATTATTTTCATTCTGTTTTTTAATGCGATGATTTCCTGTTAAAGCATATACTATTTTTGTCTCTATACTTATTACTTTACTTACTGGTGGCATTATTATTCCATCTAATTTATAATATAACGTACATGGGTAACAAGATCCGCATAGGACTCATGGGAGTTAGGAATTAGATGATAGGACTCCAAGACTCTTTACTCCCCGTGAGTGATATGTGGTCAGGCATGGGTAACAAGATCCGCATAACGCTGATCATCTTCCTCTCGTTGCATTCCACATCAGGTGCCCAATCCGTCTGGGACATCCTCTCCATCGACCGGATATTCTTTCATCGGAAGATTCCAAGAGATGATAATTCGTACTGCGAGAGCTGGAAGTTCACCGTCGAGACCAATGACGCTCCCAGCTGGACCCTTGTCCCGGAGAGATGCAAGGCTTTTGTGCAGGATTACATGACCGGTCCCAGGTACGCCTCGGATTCAGATGCCGTGGTGAACGCTTCTCTGGTGTTCATGAATAAATTGGAGATCTCTGGCGACGGGAATGATGCCTGGGTCTTCGATATTGATGAGACATTGCTGTCGAACGTTCCCTACTACAATGCACATGGGTTTGGGTGAGTGGTCATCATCTTCATTTTTTGGTCCAAATACCGTTGTCTGAAAGAAACATTATGCTCGTCTGTTATCTCTTTTCAATTTTTCTCATTCTATTCTTACAAGTTACTGTATGTTGTTTTTCGCTGGAAAATTCATATTGACAACTAAAAAATGCTTCCATTGTTTCGTGGTTCTAGATTCACAGACATTTGTACTTTATAGCATGCGCTATATTTTACTGAAACCTAGCAACCAAAATCTGGAAAAACTACTTGTTTGGAATATGTATAATGTTTTTTGTTTTTTGTTAAAAATAGATTGAAAACATCAAATACATGACAAATAATAGTACAGCCGAGCTGCCCCAATTGATTGCTTACTAACTATAGAACAGAATACAGTCACCTCTTTACATTGCTATCATTGCAGGTATCATTGTCTCCACAACTGTCGAGGAGCACCATTAGCAGTGACCTCCTCCATCACATCCATAAAGAATCACAAACTAGTGTTTGAAGATAGATTTTAATAAGCATTTGGAAAATATGTGTTGGTTAACATGATTCCCAAATTAGAAAACATGTGAAAACAGAACACATAAACATTGACCTTTTTCGTTTTAAGTGTTTTTCATAATTAAGTACACACATATAGAAGGGAATTGTGGCGATTGATGTTACAATGACTGATCCACGTGGCACAGCAGCACCGTTCTCCTCTCCCGGAACGATGTCAGCAATGAAGAAATCTTTAGCTTGGGCGGTTTCTAACCAGGCTGATAAGCCTTTATGAGCTAAGACACCTACTCAATTCAAAGGAGTACCCGCTCTAGTTTTCTCATCGGAAGAGATTGATCTATTGGCATTATTGGCATTGAGACATAAGTATGCACTGGTGGGATCTTTCTTCAGAGCCAGGCCAAACATGGCAGTTACTCGCAAATCTTATTTGCATATCTTAATTAGGTTTGAATTGAATGAGGATTATCATAGGTGTTGGGCATGACAATCATGGAACATTCGAGGATTTCCTATGCGAGTGACCAAATGGACTCCATATTCTCAACTTAATATTTATCCCTATTTCTTATATGAAATTCAGAGAGAGAGTTATGAAAGTTCAGTGGGAAAAACCTGCGGGATGCCTCAAGCTAAATGTGGATGCTTCGGTGAGGCCTACTCGGACGTCAGGAGGAGTGATTATGAGGAATGACCATAGTGACTTGATTTTTGCCGGATGCTTTGGCTTTTCAGCTACTTCCATCTTAGAAGTTGAGCTTCAAGCGATCCTTGTAGCAGTAAGCTGGGCTGTCAACGCTGGTTATGTTGGTTTTGTTGTTGAACCTGACTCGCTCATTTAAATGATCTTCTCGAAGAAGCAGCTTGGACGATTCCATGAAGTTATCTCCCATACTCGGAAGATGGCTCAGCTAGGTCGATTGAGCTTCAGACACCGTTTCAGAGACACTGTCTCTCATTTACTAGCATAAGTGGATGTACCAGTTGGTATCCCTCAGATCTGGTTTAATGTTTCTGATTTGCTTAATTTTTATCAGAGGCGCTCTTAATTTAGATTTATGGGGCATTCCAAATGCTAGACATTAATGTTATTTTTGGAAAGGGGCAAGTCCTCATGTCCCCCCTTTCTTTATTTCCTTTTGGTTTGTTTTTCTACTTTTAATAAAATCTGGCAAATGTTCCCCGACATTTACCCCATTGATCTTGGTGGTTTGCCTAACAGATAATATACATACACACACATTAGTAATTCTTGGTGTACACAAATTGTACACGGGCAAGTTGGCGTAAAGTTCTGCCATTTTTCAAACGAATTGCCCGTGTACATATGCAACTAGGGGGGTTGTGTACAAGTTGTGTACTAATTCTGTGTTCAACAAGAATTTTTCCACACACATACCCCCTCCATATTGCAATGTTTGCTACAATAAGGTTTGGCATAATGTTTAAGTGAAAAGAGTAGTAGGTGACAGGTGTAATGACTAGTATAGAAAAGGAAGGAAAGAAGTGAAAAGGTATGAAAGAGAAGATAAAAGTAAGAGAAGTAAAAGTAATTTAGCATTTTGAAAAGGAAAACTAACCAAAAAGGGAAAGTGCAACAAAAATTTAACATCCTAAAAAAGAAAGTTTAGCAAACAGAAGAATACGGAGTATATAACACCTGTGTTTGCTTGTCCTCTTTTTAATGGTTTAGTTTCAAAATCTAGTTGTGGTTGTGTAAGCCTGTAAGGTGCCTAAATTTCTTCTCTCTCACATGCCTCAGTTGAGGTTATAACCTTGCATTATTTTTTAATGCAGGACAGAAATTTTTAATGAAAGCTCCTTTGATGAATGGGTGAATTTGGCCGAAGCTCCTGCCATACCTGCATGTTTGAGGCTGTACAAAGATTTACTCAAGCGGGGATTCAAAATTTTCTTGTTGACAGGTCGGAGTGAATATCAAAGGAAATGTACAGAAAAGAATCTTCAATATGCTGGATATAGCGATTGGGAAAGACTCATTCTGAGGTATCATTTTTTATATTATAAAGTGAATATATATTGCAACAAAGTTGCGATTATACATATTACCTGTTTGGTTAGGGTATTTGGCTGAAATGGCTGGATTTTTTTTATTTCAATTTTGTTAAAACAAAAAGTGTTTTGTTAGATCCATTTTTAGCCATATAAGAAGGAAGTCAAAAGTGCTACTTATTCCATAAAAAGGACTTACTACTATACAGGCTGTTTGGTAAGTATATTTGGCTGAAATGGCTGGATTTGTTGATTTCAATTCTATTAAAAGGAAAAGTGTTTGGTTAGATCCATTTTTAGCCAAATAAGAAGGAAATCAAAGAGTGCTGCAGTGCTGCTTATTCCATAAAATTGGACTGACTACTATACAGGCTCTAAATTTGAAGATTGATTATGAAGTTTTGGTATGAAAACAGGGGGTCCTCTGATCAAGGTACACTAGCCACTGTCTACAAATCCCAGAAAAGAAAGGGATTAGAGGATGAAGGTTACCTAATCCATGGAAGCTTTGGAGATCAATGGAGTGACTTGATGGGGTCCGCATTAGCCAAGCGGTCTTTTAAACTCCCCAATCCCATGTACTACATTGCCTGACTATAAGTCTCCAATGTTTCTTCTTTGATTTTCCCCAAAATGTTGTTTAGCATCTCATAATTCATGTCATCTCTTGTCTTTTCATTCGCAAGAGAGCAAAGATTGTGTAATCCACGTTTTTCCTTAATTTGGCAGTTGCATCTTTATTTGTCTATCAGGATGATTTGGGAATAATTCCTTTGACGTACAAGTGGTTTGGACTTCAGACTGTTTTGTCAAGCAGAAACTTTTCGGTTTACTCTTGTTCCTTGATGTTTATTTTTCATATGGAAAGGTTGTATTTTAGTCCTTAATGGAAGTGTTAATAAGTGTTAGCAAGGGCCCAGAAGGGAAGGGAAGTGTAAGTGTTAGACATAATTTTACATTGTTTGGGAGAGTCAAATGAATGAATTGTTAATAATGGAAGTGTTAATAATGTTACCTTGAGGAAAAAGAAACGAGTAATGAGAAAAGATGAAAAAGGCAGATCATCAGACTTGCGGTAAAGAGATTTGAAGTGAGATGTCGAAGCATTTTATATTTTTAGGGTAAATGAGAAGGGTAACAATTGTCCAACACCTCAAAACACTCCAAACCGGTGCTATGTTCATTTCTTTTGGTATATTCATTTCTAACCGTTCATTTATCATTTCTGTTTTAGGGATACAATGCCAACAATAAATAGCTATAGTGGGTCAAATGTGGATTTTATATTCCTTTTTCAAATTAAATAAATTAATAATGGTGGGATATACGAAAAATATGGAGAGAGAGAGAGAGTGTGTGTGTAAGAGAGAGGTGGGTCACTGGTCACATGCCATTAACATCAACCCTGCTATAGGTACCCCAATTGGTACCACAACTAGACCTGTACAAAACCGGGCCGGCCCGCCCGGCCCGCCCGGCCCGCCCGGCCCGCCCGGCCCGCCCGGCCCGCCCGCACAAATTAGTGGCCTTGGACATATATATTGACCCACCGGCCCGGCCCGGGCCCGGCCCGCAACAACATATGGGCAGGCTTGGGTTAGGGTGTAGGCCCGTTCGGGCCGATAAGCCCGGCCCGCTACATTTAGTATATATACATATATATTTTTATATATACTAATTTATGTATTTATTTACATGTACACTTGTATATTTTCATATTTACTAATTTATCTGTGTACATATTTATAGTTTATTATGTTTAAATTTAAGTTTTTAGTTCTTAACAAATAGTCCAACCAATATAATATCTATTTTTGTACTTAAAGATAATACTTTATGCTTGAATTTAAAATTTTAGATATAGTTTCTCATTATTATTTTTGTGTGAATATTTTTTGTGTATGTGATGAAAGGCCTATATACATTATAAGCGTATTAGCAATTTTTTAAATGTTTTAATATTATTTATAATGTATTAAATAAATTACATAATTTTGAAAAATTTAAAATTTTACCGGGCCTGGCGGCCCGGTGGACTACCCGGCCCGCTCTTACGGGCGGGTATGGACATGGGGTTAGGCCCGTTTTTGCGGGCCGGGCCGGGCCCGCCCACACACGATGGGCAGAAAACTTATGGAAAGCCCGGCCCGAGCCCGGCCCGAACCCGCTTTTGTGCAGGTCTAACCACAACCTATTTCTGTGGCTCACAAAAGCCCATCTCAATATATGAATTGCCCCACTTTAATGAGGTGCTTTTGTGAGCCACAAAAATAGGGTGTGAGTACAAATTGCGGTACCAATTGAGGTACCTTTAGCATTTTTCCATTAACATAGTGGATGCTCTTTAAGGTGTTGCTCAGTCAATTCATCACCTTCATCATTTTTCATTTGATTTCTTCTTTAATTAGTGCATATAATATATTTGTTCGCTCTTCAATAATATCTAATCCTCACAAAAAACTATATATAAATATATATTTGATCAAATGAGAATATCATTTTGAGAGCAATAAAAATGAATCGCATCTAGGGGTGGACGGTGGACCCGGTCCGGTCCCGGGCTTGGATCCGATCCTAGACCGAGCGGTCCCGGTTCCCCAATATTGAGACCGAAACTGATCCAAAGTAGTAAGGTACCCGGTTCTGGTTCGGTCTACCCGGTTGGTCTTGGTCCCGAGCTGATTCGGAACCTTTTTTTATAAATGAATTAAAAATGAATTTACACATTAAAAAAAGAAATGTATATTATTAGAAACACTACACTGAGTTGCATTATTAACACATTTACAAATTGGAATTGTGAATAGTTTAAAGTTTAACTACATGAAGTCATGAACTAATCGTTCGAGACGCTTCCGCGCGACATCAGTTTTTGTTTCCTCCATGAAATGGCGATCCGGTGCTATGTTCATTTCTTGTGTTCTACGGCGGACCTTTTACCAATCATGGAAGTAAACGAGCATCTCAAGAGATGAAGCGCTCAAACTCATTCTATAGTAAGTCAAAACGTTGCTGCTTCGTTTAACTCTTGTTCCACGACAACTGTTTTAAACCGGCATTGACAACACTTGTTTGGCCATTTTTTTTATAAAACCGGAGACATCTCTTCGTGACTCTTCCATCATTGGAGAATGTCAAAGTCGTCCCCTCACTATACTTAACAAGAAATGTTAGATATAAAGAAAACTCATTAATCGAGGTGGAGGAGCCAAGGGATCAAGATTGAACTTTTAAAGGTCAAAGTCATCCAAGGGATCAAGAATATTTTGTGAAAATTTACCTTATACCGGATGAGGTATATATATGCCGACATACCCGGTCGGGTATGATGTGACTTTGAAGCTTTCGGACTACTGCAATAGATACCCGGTCGGCCGGTATCCTCTATACTCGGTCGGGTATCAAACCTGCCACCTCCACACACCTATAAATACACCCTATTTCTTTCCCATTCGGATATCCATTGTTCCATATACTTTAGCCCAACTTAGAATAGTAATTTATTTATATTTTTCTAGCATGTTTTGTCTCCAAATGAGGAGCTAAACTTATATTTCTTGGTTTTGCTCTTGAAGCTTGTTGAATGCTAAAGTTGTGAGTTATTTTCTTAAATTCTTCACTTAAATATTACTTCTTCCCTTAATCATTGATGGTTTCACAAGAAAGTAACCTTGAGTTATTAATACATGGTCTCGTGTTAATAATCTTAAGAGGGATTTATTGTGCTGGTTAAACCAAAATCATTGTGTTAATGTTATCAATCTCAATTGATTTCATCAAAGAATTACGAGATTAAATGCTACCATCAAGTCGGTATATGGCGTGTTCTATACTTGGCTTATAGTATGGATTGTTAATGGACAGTCTCGTTATTAATAACTATCATCGATGAATTGGAGATACTCCACCATTGAGTATTTGAGACGGGATAAGTTAAAGATATAATCGCGATCGACAAACATCTCAACAGCTGGAAAGTAACAAAGCCAAGTCTTTTATCTCATTAATTTAAATCACGTAATTCATTCATCTTAGTGTTTAATCATTTTTAAGTTCAAACAATCTTAAAAACCCCATTTGGTTACAATTTCATAGAAAATAAATATTTCTTTCCTTGTGGATACAAACCTTACTACACTACACTACATATAAGTGCATGTATTGATTTTATTTTGAGGCACACACGACTTTAATGTTGTTACGTACCAATCTCATTTCTATGAGGCAATAATGATGTATATAAGTATTTGCATGTAATATCTAAATGTAATTAAATTGGAAAAAAATGTAAAACCTTTGCACATATGACATATCTAAGAGATATTACTATATAAGTCTCTTCTCGTAGTTAATATTTTGAATACTAAAATACATATCTACTATCTAATTAGGTATATACTGTCATTAGTTAGTACCTTAAGAAATACTTCAAATTACTAACTAATGACAATAGAATAACAGATAATAGATATATCTCGAGTAGGTTGGTTTGCAATCTTATTTACAGTACATAAGTATTTTAATAATTACTTTTTGTTTTCTAAACAAAATTGTAATTTGCATTCCACCTAATACATGTGAACTTAGGACACCCTTACTACACGGGTTACTAAACGGTGCTTATTAAGACTCGCGTTAATAAGCAACACATAAAACAAGCAATGTTGTAATATCATGTTTACTTCAAAGGGTTTAGAACACCGCTTAACATTAAAATTTCCAAAATAACCCTAAGCATATATAGACACACAAACATTCATGAACACAAGTATATAATATAATATGTGGGGTCAGGGTAGGATGGCGGTAGGGGTCGGGATCAGGGTGGGGCCGAGGTAGGGGCATGTGGTAGGGGTGGGGTAGGGTCATTGAAGGGAAAAGGGGTACGAGGGGGTGGGGGTGATCTGGTAGGGTAGGGTAGGGGTAAGGGATAAGGTACAAGGGTTGGGGTAGTGAGGTAGGGTGGGGTCAGGGTGGGTTCGGGGTAGTAAGGTAGGGGCGGAGTGGGTAGAGGGTTGCGGGTAAAGGGGTAACAATAGGGTAAGAGCAAGGGGTAAGGGTAAGGGTAAATTCGGAAACTGAAAAAGCTTAAAGTGCCGCTTAGGGGTGAGCATGGGACGGTACGAGATGGTTATTTCAAAAAACCTGTCCCGTCCCAAAGTACGGTTCTTTTAAAAATCAAGAACCGATACCGTCCCGCGTATATATAGAACTTGTCCCGTTCCGTACCAATTTTCGGTACGGTTCGGTACGGTTCTCCGGTGTTATTTTGTTCCTAAATAGTTAACCCCCATAAAATATAATTAACCCTATGTACGTAACATGTTTACATCATTTAGTATTGTTTTTGTTTTAAAGCTAACTTTTAGAGTAGTCAAGTCTTAATAATTGGATTACACCCAAAGAATATGCAAGATTGCATATTTGTAATATATGGACATATGGTCACTAACATTTATACTCGGTAATATATTATATATAATATACTATTATATTATAACACTAGTTTTCGGGACATACGGTTACTAACATTTATACTCGCTAATATATTATATATAATATATTATTATATTATAACACTAGTTTTTGGGACATGCGGTCACTAACATTTATACTCGGTAATATATTACATATAATATATTATTATATTATAACACTAGTTTTCGGGACAATTCGGGACGGTACGAGACGGTTCGGTTCAATACGGTTCCGGGACGGTACTCACTAAGAACCGGTACCGTACCATATTATTAAAAAAGCTCGGTACGGTACGGTATTACATTTTTCCGGTTCTTTCGGCTCTGGAACGGTACGGGACGATTCTTTGGTACGGAACGGGAATTCCCAGATCCGCGCTCAACCCTAGTGCCGCTTAAATGCTTAATTAATACATGGGGGGGGGGGGGGG